ATGGGCTTGCACAGGCTTGTGCGCCCGGGCGCCGCCCGCGGGCGCCGCCCGCGGGCGCGCTGCGGGGGTAACGCCTCGAGCGCTGGCTGCACATGGCCTGCCTCCTCGTCCTCCTCCTCCTCCTCCTCCTCCTCCTCCTCCTCCTCCTCCTCCTCCTCCTCCAGGCGTCATTGCTCCCAGCATGATGCATTCCCTACACGCCATTCTTACACATTGCATCCTCTTGACTTCCGCGCCATGGCCTCCCCTTACTCTTGAGGAGCCCCTTGCCCCCACGCGCTTGGGGATGGTGGAACATCGCAGCCTCAATCTCGTCGCTCACAACATATGCTCCCTCGTCCAGCCATGCCGACATAATGCAGTTTCTCTTGCGTAGGCCACCAAGGATACCACCTTCCTGACGGGCATTCGTATACGAATGAAGACTACGGACACTTGTTGCAGCAGCGTTGCTGACAACAACTTACATATTCTTAATTGGGGAGATGGTCGAGGGGCGTTCGCTAATGCGCATGCAGGCGTACAGCTCAGGCTACGAAAGGATTTACTTCGTCTCAGGCACATCGCTGCAGTGCATTCACATCATGCCGCTCTTCAGGGTCGAGGAGGAACAGTGCTCTTACGTTCGGATTGCTTTCATATTCTTGCCATTGTCGTTGATTTCCCTCCACGCCCGAAGATTGCGAAGCATAATAGTGTGTATCAGAAGAGCTTGGACTTCCTTATCACATGGATGATTGACATTTCTAGCGAGCAGCCAGCGAGATGCTCAATTGTGTTTGGAGGAGATTAGAATGATCATGCTGGCGTGCGACCGCCTGAATTTCATTCGGACGAGGGAGACCCCATTGGGCCCCTGTATCCACGACCTGAGCACTATTGTTTGAGAAAGATGCGTAGTTATCTTGAACAGTTTTGACTTTGTCTTGCTCATTTCTTTGTTGGCGGGGAGGATACCTTTTTCGGGAAGCAGAACAGTACAAGAGTTGATTATATTTGGGCTCCCAGAACATGGCTCTCCTCGGTCACACAATGTCGGGTCCTCCCAAAAAAAGGCAGACGGCTCCAAATGGCCCCCACGGTCCGAAGGTGGGACCATTGGCCCCTCCAGGTCTCGGTGAGATATCTCCTGAGTTTCCCTGCGGCGCCCGCAACGAAGGCCGAGTCCTGGGATGCCGACCGACTTGTTGAGGAGGTGGTGGAAGGTGTCTGGCGTGCTCGTTTCCTACGTGAAGTTAAAGATACGTGCTATCGCACTTACCCCGCCTGGCTTTCTCCTGAGGGACGAGCGACTCCAAATCGTCCGTGGGGACAGTTTGTCAAGTATATACGAATCATCGCAATTTGATATTATTCGAAGGTAAATGAGGAACACAAAGAATATGTCCGCTCTCGGCAACAACAACGGGCTGTACTCCGAGTGCGGTTCGAACTACGAGAAAAATTAGCTAGTCTTCCTGCCGTTATAGTTATTGCTGCTGATCGCCCGCACTTCCAGGAGCTCACCCAGGTGCAAAATGCGTTGTTTGCTTTTACAAACAGATAAAACACACGCGTGATGATGATCGAGAACGGAATATGGAATCGCTTGCAGAGCAGACTCGAGACGCTTGGAAGGAAGCGCGTTGGTCACTTTTGCATCGCCTCTGTCGCCGACTCGCTTGCGCGACCGTCGGACCAGGCCGGCTTTTTTTCAATCAGCCGCTCAGCATGCGGCCCGCTTGACAGATGTGGGCGGATTTCTTCGCTCAGCGAGGCCCCCTGGGCGGCCAATCGGCCAGGCCAGTGAGCCCACTTTCGCTGCCAGATCATCGGTTTGAGATGGGATTGGGGCTTCGCATCTACGGGCCAGGATTTAGAGACGAAGCCGATCGCGGCCAGCGCGGCATCTGTGCAGCCTTGCGCACGATGGCCGACAGGAAGAGCGCGCCGCCATGGAGTCTATCAGTGGAAATCTACCGTATGCCATTACTACGTGCCCACAGGCACCCGACACATAAACTCGAGCAAGGTACGTTCAGTGACACTATATCTAGTATGGAATGATTTTCTCGTTGTATCAGAGGGGGTTTCTTTGGGGCATTCGTGGAGGGGCTCGGCTACTGCTGGGCTGGCGCAGATCCCAGGGGATGCAGCGTGCCCAAACCCACTGCTACCGCTCCTGGACTTCGATCGGTTCGGCTCGGTCATAGAATGCGTCCCTTAAGTAAGGCCTGCAGCAAGCACCTGGGCATCAGAGGCGCTGTCTGCTACCCTGAGCGAGTGTTTGCCGTCACCTTCGCGGTGGGGTGTCTTATCGCAGGCGTGAGGCTGCCATAGGCTGGCGCCTTTCCCGTCTGCAGAAGTCTCATTGCGCATTGTTTTACGACCGGGCCAATGCTTCTGGCAGTCTTTATTGTAGTTTGCTTGACGACGCAGACTACTCAGACGTGCACCCTGGCGATGTTTAGTTTGGCCAACACAGTAATCGTCACGGCGTAGTCGCGTTGGACTATTCAGACGGAGTGGGGGCATTTTATGGTCCAAGAAGGGGTTTTGCAGGGGCATCAGTCCGCGCAAGTTACATATGTTCGTACTTTTGACCGCTGCGCTATTATGCCGTGGCTTGAAGAGCGACGAGCTCAGCCTTATGGCCGTGGCCTTGTGTTCTCCAGCCCGATGAATGATATCGACGAATCTGAGATTGAGTTGCCCACCGCGGTGTATATGGACGATGCTGCGCATGACATCATGGTCCGTGCGGCGTCAGCTATGGCCGTTGAGGCGCGTTCCGCCCCTGCCAGTCTGGTCGCCCATCTTGCGCGTGCGGGAGGGGGTCTGAATATCGACGAGCAGGTCACTGTCCCGAGATTTGTCGGTCCAGGATCTTTTGGGGGATCTCGATGCTTCGCGGGCCCTGCGCGCCAGCTACCTGGGAGTGCGCGCGCGCGTGCAAAGTATCTTTGGCGCGATGTATCATGGGGCGGGTATCGCAGCGCAGCGACGTCATGCCGCGCAACAAAAACACATGCGCAGTGCATGACCTGCTATGGGAAGGTTTTGGCATGTCGCACATGTGCCACTACGTATCCGCATCCTCGTATTTCAAGCACGCGTACAGCCGGCCGGTCTCAGTGGTCTGGAGGCATTTATCTAGTCCGCGAGTGGCTTTAAGCTTATTGATGGCCTACTGCTTCAGTGGGGCCGAGGTCTACGCGAAGGGGCCGCAGTTCTCAAGATTCCACGGGCTGACGGCGCGCTGAACCACGCTGCGCATCCAAACGTTCGTGTCTGGACTATGCTGCGCATGGTCCCAGCGCATCTTGAACTGAGAATTCGACGTCTACAGTGGCTCCAGACTGAGGCCGCACACCGCTCGGAGAACAGGCAACTCTTGGCGGCGCTCTTCGGTCGGATGCATGGCGAGGAGCACTCGACTGTCGAGAACGGACTACTCACGAGAGGTGAAGAACGGAAAACTTCGCGGGAGCCCCTGGGCCCTACAGGCTTTAAGCGATTTGGATATTGTGATTTATGTTGAGGGGGGACCAGCTTTACTAGTGGAGGTGTGACATTTACATATTCGCGTTTCAACAGTTTTGCAAGTTAGATCTCGCTACGCTCCGCAATTTGCATTGGGGAGAGCAAATCGACGATGCTGGGGGGAGACGGGTTGAGGGGGGCGGGAGGAGGCATTTCAGAAGGAGGGGCAGCAGCAGGACCTCCCGACCCCAGGCCTGACCCCCCTGCTCGAGTTTGGCGACGTATTGAAACTACAAATGATGGCACGGGGTGTGGATTGGAAATTCAATGATCAGCAGGGGCGGTATGCTCACATGCGCTTCTGTGCCGAGAGCAGTCGCGGACATGGGGCTACATCGCAGCTTCTCACCGTCACCAATCAGTGTCCCTGTTGTGTGAGTTCACATTCGATTGTTGCAATTACCTGCCAGCATGTTCGACGGTTGATTTTCGTGAAGAAATTGTCGGTGCGACCGGAGTCCGATCCGCCATGGGCCGATCTTGCCACTAACCTTTGAATGACCCGCCTGTAGTGTGGATCGCCCATCGCTTGTGGCTCTTCAGCGGCATATGCGTGCGCGCGTCGACCTGTCTGACGCCGCCTTCTCGTTTGCCATCCTCGATGGCGACGTGGATGATGCCGCTGGAGGCGGTGGATGTCGACGAGGCGAAGACGCGTCTGGCCGAATGCTCTCCGACGACCTTATTGGTCGCTGGAGGCAGCGGCAGGCCGCGCGCTCGGCGCGCGAAGGAGCCGCGACGTCAGCGCGACCCCGCGAGGGCCGCCGCAGCCGCAGCGCCAGCAGACGACAACGACCTCTCAGAGGGCGATACAGCATCGGAGGTGATGAAGGGATATCTCAACACAGCGCAGCGGCAGCGAGCTCTCGAGGGGTGCGTGCACGCCGCGGACTTGATCCAGAAGGGACATCAGGTGAGCTACGCGGCGATCGGAGCTGCCCAGAACGGCGACATAGTCAAGGATAATCCAGCGTATCACGGCCATGGGCCACCCAGTCTGCGCGTAGCCTTCGCAGCGTTGCAGACGCTCGTGGGTCAGGCCGACCTCAAGTCGAATCCAGCGCTGCAGGATCACCTGAAGGTCGTCACCACACTCATAGAGGAGATGAAGAAGCAGCCGATGGCCATCGCATGCGAGACCCTGCGCTACTGGAAGGCCAAGACGGCCTACGTGCAGGAAGGCGCCCCACCGCTCAGTCGCCACACATTCTTTGTCAATTCTTGGGTCCAGGGGTTCTCTGGGGCAGGCCTGATGATGCCGATGAGTTCGATAATCGCGACCCTGTTTCTGGCCCTCAGGGGCGTGCCGAAGATAGGCCCCCCCCCCCCGAAAACCACCAAAGATCGCTGGGTCCAGAACTCTTTGGAGGAGATGCTCCGCGGGGGCCGCCGCAAGAAGGCTCCGTGGAGCTTAGACCCGGCTCCTCCTCGTCCTCTTTGATGCCTCCTCCTCCTCTTCCTTCTGGGCCTCCCTGTGGCCTTGGATCGGTCTCGGGGCGCGGAAGGGTTCAGTTTCAGGGGGAGTGGGGCCCTCTGGTGCGCCCCCCCTTTCGCCCTCTGATGCTGCCGCCCCTGGCCGCCGCTGTGTGCTTCTTTCTTCTCTGCGTCTCCTTGTGTCAGTGCAGTTCACTGCTTCCTTTTTGTTGCGCAATTGAGCTGGCCTGGCTGGCCTTTCTTCCCCTCTTCCCTCTCGCTCTTCGCTGCCGCTGTCCTGGCTGCCGCTGTGTTCCTCCCGTCCGCCTTTTGTCCCGAAGACGTTGATGCTGCAGTAGCTACGCGTGCAGGCCTTTCGACCCTGTGCTGCAATCACGGAGTCCCCATGCTGATTGCTGGGGCAAGGGCTCCCATGTGTTTGACATCGGTGGGAGACTTAGTGGCTTCGACCGCCCTGCGGTCATTCCGTTGTGGAAATGGAAGGGATTGACCAGATGCAGATAGCGAGCGAGCGAGCCTCCTCTTCTTCTTCCTCCTCCTCCTCCTCCTCCTCCTCCCCCCTCTCTGTGACATCCTCGCTCAAGCCTATCCTGCACAGGGAGCCTGGCGTGCACTCTTGATTCTGTCTTCAGCGTCGAATAGCGTTGATTAGGGGTCGATGAGATAGCGCCGATTTAGCGTGGGGTATCGTCGATGAGCGTCGATTTTAGCGTCGCCGAGCGTCGATATTTAGCGTCGACGACCGTTGATCCGCAAGGGCCGACAAGATGGTATGGGAGGCCCCCATGAGTCGCCACCGAAGAACTTGCATCACATAGCTTGCGCCACATCGTTTGCGCCACGTAGCTTACATCATGTGCCACAGCGTAACTACACATCCATAGCTGAAAAATACATCGTGTAGGGTCTGCGCCGGCAACCATTGTCAAATGATAATGGTTTCGGGATCGAGCGAACCTTCAAGTTTTGATCCTGGGGCACCCAGAGGCTGCTCGAATATTCCGTTGGGGCGCTAGGGCTATTCGTTCGAGCGGCGAGGGAATCGCGCGTTCACAAAATTGTGTTCGTGTTCTACATGTTTTTAGCAAACTACATCATGCGTTGTTACTGTTTAGTTGCTAGATTATAATCTCCTTGCCACGTCGCGATGCTACAAGCAAGTCGGGACTCAGCTGCTGAGGCAGCCTCGTCTTCGAAGCCTGGTGGCTTCAATGGGGGCCGGCGACTGTTGCATCTGTCTCCATTGCCTTGACAACTGTCTTACCCTTACCGTTTGCCCTTTGCATTTTTTCCCAAACATCCTGTGGTGTTGGATCCTCGTTTTGAAGAGACAGCGCCCCGCGTTCCCACCTTCCTCCCGCTGCCCCCTCCCTCCTCCCCCTCCTCCCTCCTTCCTGCGTTTCACCCACCTAGTACAGGGCTTCGTGGCCCCATAGGGTGCTCCGCCGAAGGCCCCAGTGGCAGGGTCCGCATGCAGTTCCACCTCCATTTCGGCGCACCCCTCACACGTTTCGTGGCCTCCATAGGGTGCTCCACCCAGGCCCCAGTGGCAGGGTCCGCATGCAGTTCCACCTCCATTGCGGCGCACCTCTCACACGTTTCGTGGCCCCACAGGGCGCTCCACCGAAGGCCCCAGTGGCAGGGTCCGCATGCAGTTCCACTTCCATTTCGGCGCACCCCTCACACCTTTCGTGGCCCCTATAGGATGCTCCGCCGAAGGCCCCAGTGGCAGGGTCCGCATGCAGTTCCACCCCCATTTCAGCACACCCCTCACACGTTTCGTGGCCCCATAGGGTGCTCCGCCGAAGGCCCCAGTGGCAGGGTCCGCATGCAGTTCCACCCCCCATTTCAGCACACCCCTCACATGTTTCGTGGCCCTATAGGGTGCTTCACCGAAGGCCCCCTGTGGCAGGGTCCGCATGCAGTTCGACTTCAATTTTGGCGCACCCCTCACACGTTTCGTGGCCCTATAGGGTGCTTCACCGAAGGCCCCCTGTGGCAGGGTCCGCATGCAGTTCCACCTCCATTTCGGCGCACCTCTCGCACGTTTCGCGGCCCCATGGGGTGCTCCACCCAAGGCCCCAGTGGCAGGGTCCGCATGCAGTTCCACCCCCATTTCGGCGCACCTGTCGCACGTTTCGTGGCCCTATAGGGTGCTTCACCGAAGGGCCCCTGTGGCAGGGTCCGCATGCAGTTCGACTTCAATTTTGGCGCACCCCTCGAACGTTTCGTGGCCCTATATGGTGTTTCACCGATGGCCCCAGCGGCAGCGCCCACATGCGGTTCCACCCCCATTCCGGCACACCCCTCACACGTTTCGTGGACCCGTAGGGAGCTCCACAGAAGGCCACAGTGCTGCGTTCGCATGCGGTTCCACCCCCCCATTTCGGCACACCCCTCACACGTTTCGTGGCCCTATAGGGTGCTCCGCCGAAGGCCTCAGTGGCAGGGTCCGCATGCAGTTCCACCCCCCATTTCGGCGCACCTCTTGCACGTTCCGCGGCCCCATAGGGTGCTCCACCGACGGCTCTGGTGGCAGCGTCCGCATGGCGTACCCGTGCCAATTTTGGCACACCCGTCACACGCGTCGTGACCCCAGAGGTTCACCGAGGTCGATACCCACAACTGCGTCACTCACAACTTCACATGGTTGGGTCCCTCGCCAGGATAATTGTTTGCTGATACCTGCTGCCCGACAGTTGTTTTTTTCCCTTGCCCTGATACTTGTTTCTTTCCTTCTCGTCACTGTTTCTAATGCCTGTGTCCATAGTCTTCAATGCTTGCACATCCTGTAGTATTTGCACAATCCACCTTGGCTTGTTGGGGTGTGGTGCCAACTCGAAGTTTCCAAGCCTGCCTCGGGGTCTGGGTCTTCAGGCACGCACTGTTTGGTAAGACCCTGCACTTTTTTCTGACCTGCCTGTCCCGTGTGCCCAAAGATGCCGGCCGCGATTGCGTAGGGAGCGCCCAGGGCATTTCCGAGGCGAGCCTGGCCGAGCCCAGCGGGAGGAGGCGCTCGGCGCAGCCCTGCCAGAGGACCGGCCGCTCATCGTCCAGCTTGCTGGGCACGATCCCGACCTGCTGCTGCGGGCCGCGAGGCTCGTTGAACATAGGCCCGACCCGGACCGAAAAGAGCAAATTTTTGTTCCCACCCTCCATGGCGTAACGGCCGTCCTGGGGGTTGGGGAGGGCCCTGGTGTCGACGGCACTGACGACGACAACGGCGACGACGACGACGACGACCTAGGCGACGACGACGACGACGATGATGTCGACGACCAAGGCGACGACGACGACGACCGACGACGACTGACGCTGTTTGGAGGCCATTGGAGGTCCCTGGAGGTTCCTCCTGAAGCCTGTCGGAGGGCGAAGACGACGATGCTGACGACGACGAAAGCGACGCTGACATGACGACGACGACCACGGCGACGACGACGAGGAGGAGGAGGAGGACGAAGGCGACGACGACGCTGACGACCGCGACGACGCTGACGACAACGATGACGATAACGACTAACGTCGGCCGACTTCGTTTGGAGGCCTCCAAAGTTTTCCTGGAACTGTCTGCGGAGGCCTTCGGAGGTCCCAGGAAGTGTCTGGAGGTCCCTAGAGTCGAAGTGTCTGGAGGTCCTCAGAGTCTGTTCCAGAAGCCTCCAGAGGCGCGAACATTACGCCTCGGGAAAGGGTGGGCGAACGCGCTTAAAGAGTGCTAGGATATCGTTCATTATCCAGACGATGCCAGCGCGGTAGACCCAAGCAGTGCTTCTATGACAATCTAAGAGTTCATTGTTTAAAGTGCGCATTCTCGGATTCTGAGCGCTTGGGTGAGGGGTGCTGCCGCAGCCTCAGGTGCGACGCCGTGGATCTGAACCTGGGCTGCCCCCAAGGCATCGCCAGGAGGGGCCGCTACGGCGCTTTCCTGCTGGAGGAGGAAGACCTGGTGGTCTCGCTCGTGCAGTCGCTCAGCTCGGAGTTGTCGATCCCAGTCACCTGCAAGATTCGGCTTTTCAAGGACGACCTGCGCCGCACGATCCGGCTCTGCGAGAGACTCCAGGAGGCCGGCTGTGCCATGCTGACAGTGCACGGCCGCACCCGGTTTCAGAACAAGGAGGCGACAGGGCCTTGCGATTTGGAGGCAGTAGCTGCCATCCGCCGTGCATTGGTCATCCCCGTGATCTCGAACGGGGGCGTGGCCAGCCATGCAGACTTGCTGCGGTGCCTCGAGGTTACTGGAGCTGCCGGCGTGATGTCCTCGGAGGCAGCCTTGGAGAATCCGGCCATCTTCTGCGGCAATTTCGACGCCGGCGGCGCCTACGTCGACCAGGATCGCCTGGCGCGGGAGTACCTGGACCTGGCGGAGATGTACCTGCCAGGCGCAGGCTCCGCAGACGAGTGCCCGAAGTGCGTCAAGGCGCATGTCTTCAAGCTCGTGTACGCGGGGCTGCAGGACAACCACGACCTCCGCGACCGCGTCGGCTCCGCCAGGTCTCTGCCAGAGTTCCGGGCCGTGGTGGAGGAGCCACGTGCCCTCCATCCTGCGCCTGCACGTGCTCCCCTCCCGGCACGTGGGCCCCTGCTTCTCGGGAGAGGGGGGGAAGAAGAGCAGAGGAGGGGCATCGAGGACGAGGAGGGGACGACGGGGGGTTGGGGCGTGGGGGGCCCCTGCTGTCCTCGTGTACTGCGTTGTTGGATGATGTACAGGGGCGGGGGGGGGGTCTGGCTAGAGACAGATCGATGCTGGAAGGGGTCTGCCCCCTGTCGAGGAGCTGTCGGCGCGGGGCTGGGCGCAGCCCATGCACAACGCTGGCCCGGAGCTCTTCCCAGGGCCGGGAACTCCGAGCCGCGACGCGTCCCTCACCCCCCCCCCCCGGGAGGAAAGTACGGGGCCTCAACATGTACACCACCACCGCCTCCCTCACCCCCTCCCTCTGCCAGGAGAGAGGGGAGGAAGAGGAATCGACGTGACACCTATCCTTAAGTCAGGAGGTGAAAAAAACACACAGACACAATTCATCGGCGATTCCCAGGAAAATTTGGGAAAATATGGGAAGTGGGGGGGAAGACAGAAACCCAGGAAATATGGGAAAATATGGGGAAGCTTTTCATTTGTGTGTATTTCTTTGTGTGTCCCAAGGTCCCTTCATGGAGGCCCGCAGAGGGAGGCCCCGGCAGGAAAGAGCGCCCCAGTGCAGGCGCCGAGCCGAGCCCAGCAGAGGCCCCCGAGGGGGCCCGAGGACGGAGCAACGCCGGCGAGATCGCCGCGCCCTCGCACGGGGACGGCGCGGACCGTCCCCGTGCTGGCCAGGTCTGGCGCCCCCCTTCTCGATGGGCCAGAGCGGGGATTCATCGCAGGCCTACCTGGTTGACACCAACACCGACATCCGCGGTGTGCCTCCACCGGGGGAAGACGATCCCGATCTCGGTGACGGTGGTCATATTCTGGCTTCCAAGGTGGCCGAACGATTACCACCAACACCGAAATCTAGGATCACCTTCCCCCTGTGGAGGCAACCCCCTGTGTTGGTGTTGGTGCCCATTTCCAGGCCTCCAACAGAGCGGGGATTCAAGAAGAACAAACATAAGCTTAGTGGCGCTCCGCGCGCCAGGCAGGGGGGCCCAGCGCAGATCCAAGAAATCCGCGCGGAGCGCCAACAGTTTATGTTTATGGCGTTTTTTTGTTCTTCTTCTGAGAGGGGCGTTTCACTCACGAGCGAAAGAAGGACGCACACGTACACGAATCCACGCTGGTTTCGAGAGTACGCCTTGCGCGACCCTTCTCGTCACCCGGCTGGTTTCGCGCGCGGATTTTTTTTGGGGGGGGGCGGTGTTCATGAACTTGGGTGGGCGCGTACGTCAAGGGGAGGACCCGAACACGACGAGGAGGACCCAAGCACGACGAGGAAGTACCCAGGCACGACAAGGCGGAGATAAACTCACGACAGCCGTCAACCGCCGAAAGTGGGAGGCGATCCGCTGGCCTCGGGCGCTGCCGAAGGTGCCCGTGGCCCAGGGTCTCCCCAGGAGCTTCCGAAAAGGCCCCAGAGGGCCCCAGAGGACCCCAGGGGCTCAAAGTGCGGCGAGGATCAGGAGGGACAAAAAACGCACACACACAACTGATCGTCGATGCTCAGGAAAATAAGGGAAAATATGGGAATCGGGGGGGAAGCGGAAAACCTAGAAAATGTTGAAAAAGTATAGGGGATCTTGGGATTTAGGTCAATTCATTTGTGTGTCCCTGGGCCCCTTCAGATAAGTGGGGTGCTTCCACCTTTGGGCCATGGACACCTTCCCAGATGTCCGATGTACCGTGTTCTTCAAGACGGGGCCCGCAGAAATCCCGACCTTTTCCCCAGGGCTGGCGTTTTCACCCTGAGCCGTCTTTCGACGTTCTTGGGGCCCGGCGGCCAAAATCGGCGGAACGGCTCCGTACGTTTGTCCTCCCTGCGGTCGGACCGAGGTAGACGATCCAGGTCGGTTCGGGCAGGGTACCCCACTGGTTCTCGTGCTTGTGGGATGTTCTTGTGCACCCTGGGGAGGGTACCCTTGGCTGTTCTCTGTGTGTGTGTGTGTGTGTTTTGGCCGGCGGAGGGTCTCATGTCCTTGAAGGATGTTCTTCTGTCCTAGGCTTACGTCGGGCCTGTCCCTCTACAGGAGGAATATTCAAAAGCAGTCAAAAAATAGTCTGGGGACTATTTGTTGAGCATTTCTTAAACCACTTTGGAGTATCTTCTTGGGGTATTCTTTATTTGTCGTCGCCAATCCCCCTGTGGGGGGACAGGCCCGGCTTCACCGTAGGGCCGAGGCCTGGGCCCGTGGCGCACTCCGCGCGGCGCTCCCGGGGGCAGACTTCCCGGCCCCGGCTTCCGGCCCGAGCGGGCGTGGTACTTCCGGCACCGGCTCCGCGCCGCGGGGCCGAGCGGCGCGGCGGCGGGCCCGGCGCCGCCCAGCGGCACGCAGGAGGCGCCGGAGGACCGTCCGGGGCAAGTCCTTTTTGAGCCTGGCATCAAGTCGGGCCTGGCAAATTTGTTTCTGACGCCAGTTCGCAGCTGCACGTCCCCCCGTGGGGGTATCCACGATGTGCTCTTTCAAGGGGGTGGTGCGCGGCGCTGGTTATGGCGCGACCCGTGGCGAAACTCATTGTTAACTTGTGTTGGAGTGGCTGGCGCAAGCTGAATCGCCACTCACAGCGCAAATCATCGTCCTCCTTCCTGCTTGCCCCTCCCCTCCCTTCCTCCGATCCCTTCGTCCTCGTTCCCCCCTGTTTGTGTTGCCCTCCGTTTTCAATGGCTTCACCAACCACGCGTGGCAGGGAATGAATATATCCCCCAAAAGGGGGTGCGATCGAAGACGATGAGGGCGGGTATCCAGGGTTTGGGATTTGCATATTGAATGACACGCGAGCAGGTAAGAGCGAACAGTCTTAACTTGATTGTTGTTGTTGTTGTTGTTGTTGTTGTTGTTGTTGTTGTTGTTGTTGTTGTTGTTGTTGCTGTGCTTCTTCTTAAACAAGAGGCTCATGCCATTCCGCCGACCCCCATAACAGTGAGTGCGTCGAGAGATTTGGCATCGTGCCTGGCCTGTGAGTCAAGAGCCTCGGGGATGCATCTGAGAGTCTCCTGGACTGCCTCTGCGGGAGCTCTCGGAGGGCTCTCGGGGGCCTCTCGGGAGCCTGTCGGAGGCCTCTCGGGGGGCTGCGGCACGGCGTGGGGGGCGCCTGGTGGAACCCACCTACGCCTCAGAGGGAACAAAAAATTGCCTCCTGGGTGCCTCTTGGAAGCCTCTTGGAAGCCTCTCGGGGGCGCCTCGGGGGTCTCTGGGGGCCCTTGGGGCTATCGCGGTGGGAAAGACTTGAGATGTCGGTTCGTATTGCCCTTCTCGGCCCCCTTTTGGGGCCTTCCTTGGCCTGCCCAGAGGGCCTTGGGGCTGCCTTTGGGGCCCTCTTGGGGCTCTCTCGGGCCGTCTTGGAGCCCTCTTGGGCGCCTTATGGGCCGTCTTGGGACGATCTTGGGGATTCCTTCTGCCGTAATGGACGCTGTTCTCACGAAACATGATCGACCCACGAATCTGGAGAGGAATCTAGAAACGTAAGGCGTGGCAACGTTGTCAAGACACCTGATTGGGCGACGGGCAATTGCAATGCTGAGCGTATCGGTGTTGACGTACCGTGGCAAGGGCTATGCTGTGCTGCGCCGAGCTGAATTGCGATGTGCCATGCCGCGATTGTGCTTTATAGCGTTGTGGATCGAGTCCTCCTTTGCATCCAAGTCCTTAACCGAACTGATCTGGATCTTAAGCTCGAGCTGCCTGAGCACACAGTAGCTGCCCCAGAGCTCGTTGACAGGGGGACACGCCAGGGGGACGCGCCGCGGAACGTCCCAAGGGACGCGTCAGGGATCTTGCCAGGGGACGTGCCATGGGGACGCACCGCGGAGAGTGCCAAAGGGACGCGCTGTGGAACGTGCCAAGGACGTGCCACGGGACGCGCCAGGGGACGCGCCGCACGACGTGCCAGGAGGACTCGCCATGGGACGCGCCACGGAATGTGCCAAGGAGCGTGCCAAGTTACAAGGCTGAGTGCATCGATCTTGATGTACCGTGCCGAGGGGTGTGCTATACTACGCCGTGCTGAACTGCGATGTGCCATGCCGCGATTGTGCTCCACAGTTGTGGATCGAGTTCTCCTTTGCATCCGAGTCCTTAACCGAACCGATCTGGATCTGAAGCTCGAGCTGCCTGAGCACACAGTAGCTGCCCCAGAGCTAATTGACAGGGGGACATGCCAGGGGGACGCGCCGCGGAACGTCCCGAGGGACGCGCCAGGCGACGCGCGCACCGCGGGACGTGCCAAGGGGACAAGCCACGGAACGTGCGACCTGGACATGTGAAAATAAGCGTTTCGTTCAAGAAATTCTCGACACATCGTCATGCTAGACATCTGCCTGGGCAACCTGGAGGCGTGAAACCAAGCGTCTCGCTCGAGACATCCTCAAGACCTGGGCACGTGAAAACAAGCATCTCACTTGAGATATCCTCTGAATTCTGGCCCCCAGGAGAGGACAAGCTATAACACAAAACAAGCGTTTCGCTCGAGACATCCTCAACAAGTTTTGCAACACAAGCGTTTCGCTCGGCACATCCTCAAATGTTAATTCGCTTGCCCTTCTCGACTTCGTTATATATCGCAAATAAATTCGCCAGCCCTGAAGCCGTCGAGGCCGGGGGAGAACTCCTGACAGAGAACCCTGAGCTCACGCCCTTTCTGCTGGGAAAAGGCGTGTGTACCGAAAGTGCACACTTTCCTTAGGGCCGATCCTTGCATCTTGGGGCCCTGCCTGCTGCTCTCTGGAAGCACTCGTGGGCCGCCCTGAGGGCCTCGTAGGCCGTCTTGAAGCCACTTTGGACCGTCGCGGGTTCTACCCTGGGCCGTCTCGACGCTCTTTTGGATAGTTCGTCTCGGCGCTCATGGGCATTCTTGGGCCCGTCTTGGGGCTCTTTGGAGGCTCCCGGAGCCCCCGGCATGCGTCGAGGAGCCCGGCCCCTCTCCCCCGCGCCGACCCCCCCCCACCCCTCTGATGCGTTTTTGTTGCCTCAGAGGGGGGGGGGAAGGGGGGAGGGGGGACAGCCAACCATTTCACACGCCTGCGCACCCCCAGCCAGCGGGGGTCGGTGGATTCTCCCCCCTCTCCTCCTCCGTCTCCGCCTCGTTCCCCCTTCTCGTGGTCAGTGCATGCGGTCGCTGGGTTCACCAGAGTGCCGAGCTGCTTGAACGGATCCCAACAGGAGGACTCGGCGTGGGCGCCTCCGAGCCTCTTCGACTGACGCCGCCGCGCCCGTATTGGGCAGTCTCCTCGTCCTCCTCTCTGCCCTCATCCTCCGCTTTTTGTACCTGTGTCTCCTCCTTCACATCATGCTCCCGTTCCTCCTCCTCGTTGTCCAGAGCTTTTTCCTTCTCTCCTTTGGAGGCCTGTGGATGTCTCTGGAGGTTTCTGGAGGTCCCCAGCGGCCTCAACGGGTCCCCAGAGGCCTCAGGAAGAGAGGCTTAAAGAGAAAGACAAATGGCTTGAACCTTCGATTCTTCTCCTCCTCCTCCTCCTCCTCCTCCTCCTCCTCCTCCTCCTCCATTCTTTTTCCTTGTGTACAACCATTCCCTGTCGCACCCTGAGGCCAGTCGGAAGGGTGGGCCGGCGTCTTCTGAAGCTCGAAATTTGCAATAGTTTCACATAGGGAGGGCGGGCCGCTTTCAAACTGTGGCTCTCTCAGTAGCGCCGCGCACATCCGTTAAAAGACGCAATAGTTTCACAGACTGAGGGCGGGTGGTTTTCAAATTGTGACTCTCGCCTTAGCACCGCACACATCCGCATCGAATTTGTGCAAGAGCTTCACGGATTGAGGACAGATGGTTTTTAACATGTGGATCTCGCCTTAGCGCCGCACACATGTGCTGGAGAACATCGCAAGAGTTTCTCGGATGGAGGGCTGGTGGCTTCTCAAAATGTGGCTCTCGCCTTAGCGCCGCGCACATTCGTCATAACGTCATAACATATGCAGTCACGGATGGAGAGCAGTTCCTTTTCACCATGATCGACCCACGAACTTGGAGAGGAATGTAGAATTGTAAGGCATGGCAGCGTTTCAAACACACTTGATTGGGCGACGGGCAGATGCCATGTTGAGTGTATCGATCTTGATGTACCGTGCCGCGGGCTGTGCTGTGCTGCGCCGTGCTGACTTGCGATGTGCCATGCCGCGATTGTGCTCTATAGCGTTGTGGATCTAGTCCTCCTTTGCATCCGAGTCATGACCGCACTGATTTGGATCTCTTAAACTCGAGCTACCTGAGCACATAGTAGCTGCCCCAGAGCTAATTGACAGGGGGACATGCCAGGAGGACGCGCCGCGGAACGTCCCAAGAGACGCGCCAGGCGACGTGCCAGGGGACGTGCCATGGAGACGCACCGCGGGAACGTGCCAGGGAACGTGCCAGGTTGCAATGTTGTTCCTGGGGCGTTAGGAACCCATGTATTTCTGTGCTTCTCCCGCCCTTGGGCGTTAGGAACCCATGTGTTTTCACGCTTCTCCCGCCCTGGGGCGTTAGAAACGTATATGTTTTCAGGTTTGTCCCGCCCTGGGGCGTTATGAACCCATGTGTTTTCACGCTTCTCCCGCCCTGGCGCGTTATGAACCCATGTGTCTTCACGCTTGTCCCGCCCTGGGGCTTGTCCCGCCCTGGGGCTTTAGGAACTGTGTGTTTTCACGCTTCTCGAGCCTCCCGGGGCGTCCTGGGGGGCGGGGGGAAGCGAAAAGTGTTCCGGACAACCTACCCGAATACAGAACATACGTACAACAAGGATTTCACCTGAGACATTCTCTGAATTCTTGGTCCCCATGGGAGGACAAGCTATAACACAAAACAAGCGTTTCGCTCGAGACATTCTCAACACTTTCTGAACATGATCGACCCACAAACCCGGAAAGGAATATAGAATGTAAGGTATGGCAACGTTTCAAAGGCTCTTGATTGGGCGATGGGCAAACGCAATGTTGAGTTTATGGATCTAGATGTACTGGGTCGAGTGTTGTGCTGTGCTGCGCCGTGCTGAATTGCGATGTGCCATGCCGCGATTGTGCTCTATAGCGTCGTGGATCGAGTCCTCCTTTGCATTCGAGTCCTGACCGAACTGATTCGGATCTAAAGCTCGAGCTGCCTGAGCACATAGTAGCTGCCCCAGAGCTAATTGACAGGTGGACATGCCAGGAGGACGCGCCGCGGAACGTCCCAAGGGACGCGCCAGGCGACGTGCCAGGGGACGTGCCATGGGGACGCACCGCGGGGACGTGCCAGGGGGACGCGCTACGGAACGTGCCAAAGGACGTGCCACGGGACGCGCCAGGGGACGCGCCGCGCGACGTGCCGGGGGACTCGCCACGGGACGCGCCACAGAACGTACCAAACAACGTGCCAGGTTGCAATGCTGAGTGTATCGATCTTGATGTATTGTGCCGAGGGTTGTGCTGTGTTGCGCAGTGCTGAACTGTGATGTACCATGCCGCTATTGTGCTCTATAGCGTTGTGGATCGAGTCCTCCTTTGCATCCGAGTCGTGACCGAACTGATTTGGATCTTAAGCTCGAGCTGCCTGAGCACATAGAAGCTGCCCCAGAGCTAATTGACAGGGGGACATGCCAGCAGGACGCGCCGCGGAACGTCCCAAGGGACGCGCCAGGCGACGTGCCAGGGGACGTGCCACGGGGATGCACCGCGGGACGTGCCAAGGGGACGCGCTACGGAACGTGCCAACGGACGTGCCGTCTCATGCTAGACATCAGCCTGGGCGAACTGGACACGTGAAGTCAAGTGGTTCGCTCGAGACATCCTCAACACGCCTTCATGTTAGACGTCCGTTCCAGGTCCCCAGGAAGGCCCCAGGAGGCCCATATTTGATACCCCCTAGGTGGCCTGGACACGTTAAAGCACTTGGTTCCACCATGTTAAATACACCCCTGGGCGACCTGGACACGTAAGACCACGTGATTCCAATTCGGGACAATCATGTTAGATATTCCCCTAGGTTGCCTGGACACGCAACACACACGTGGGGCCAGCTCGGGGCAACCATGTTAGGTACACCCCTGGGTGGCCTGGACACGTCAAAGCACGTGGTCCTTGCTCGTGACAATCATATTATATATCCCCTCTGGGTGGCCTGGACATGTACAACCACTTGTTTCAAGCTCGGGGCAACCATGTAAGATACCCCACTGGGAGGCCTAGACACGCAACACCATGTTAGATACCCCCCTGGGTGGCCTGGACAAGTAACATGATCGACCCACGAACCCAGAAAAAATATAGGAATGTAATGCGTGGTAACGTTTTCAAATACACCTGATTGGGTGACGGGCAAATGCAATGCTGAATGTATCGATCTTGATGTACCGTGCCGACGGCCGTGCTGTGCTGCACCGTGCTGACCTGCGATGTGTCATGCCGCGATTGTGCTCTATAGCGTTGTGGATCGAGTCCTCCTTTGCATCCGAGTCCTGAACGAACTGATCTGGATCTTAAGCTCGAGCTGCCTGGTCACATAGTAGCTGCCGCAGAGCTCAGTGACAGGGGGACACGCCAGGGGGACGCGCAAGGGACGTGCCATGGGGACGCACCGCGGGACGTGCCAAGGGGACGCGCTACGGAACGTGCCAGTGGACGTGCCACAGGGCGTGTCATGGGACGCGCCGCGCGACGTGCCAGGGGGACTCGCCACGGGACGCGCCACGGAACGTGCCAGGTTGCAATGCTGATGTACCGTGCCGAAATCCGTGCTGTGCAGCGCCGTGCTGAATTGCGATGTGCCATGCCGCGATTGTGCTCTATAGCGTTGTGGATCGAGTCCTCCTTTGCATCCGAGTCCTGACCGAGCAGATCTGAGCCCCCAAGATCGCCCCAAGATCGCACAAGAGGCCTCCAAGATGGGCCCAAAACTGCCCCAAGACGACTCAAGAGGCATCGAAGACGCCCTAGATGGCCTCCAAGAGGGCCCCAAGTCGGCCCAGAGAGGCCCTCAAGACGACTTCCGACGGCGTCAGACGGGCCAGGAGGCCATCAAGACGGCCCAAGATGGCTCGAAGATGGCTCGAAGATGGCCTAAGACGGCCCTCCAAGAGGCCCCGACGATGTTTCCAAGACGGCCAAAGAGGCCCCCAAGAGGGCCTGCAGGAAGGCCCGAATATGCCAAAATCATGGATTTTCCATAGGTGTTTAAGGATTTTGGCATTTGCTTCTTTTCGGTCTTCCGACGGCCCGAGATGTCCCAAGCGCTCCAAATATCGCCCAAGAGGCCTCCAAGATGGCTCCAGAACGGCCCAAGAGACCCCCAAGACGGCCCCAAGAGGGCACCAAGACGGCCCAATAGGCTTCGAAGACGCTCAAGATGGCCTCCAAGACGGCCCTGGAGCACCCCAAGAGGGCCCCAAGTCGGCGTCAGACGGGCCAGGAATGCCTTAAGACTGCCAAAGAGGCCCCCGAGAAGCCCCCCAAGGTCCCCAAGAGGCCCCACGAGTTGCCTCCAAGAGGCCCCCAGGAAGCTCCAAGGAGGCCCCAAGAGTGCCCCAGAGGCTCCTAAGATGCCCCCTCCTCCTCATCCTCATCCTGATCTTCTCCGCCATCCTCCCCCAAGTGTTCCCCGAAAGGTTTCTACAATGGCTGGGGGAACACATGGCCCGACAGCTTGGCAGAGCTCTTGCCACAACGCTCGGCCACATGGGCTATTCCAAAAGGCAGGAGGCGGCGGTGATTCGCCGTAGGCGTCTTCGATAAGGCACATCTATTATCATATATATATATATATATATATATATATATTTATTGTACATATAACGGCGCACCGGGTCCGGGGGCCCGGGGCCGGGACCTCGACCACAAATGTGGGCCCCGGGGGGCCCGGAGGCTCGTCGGACCGCCGGACGCCGTCCAAGATCGTTCGCAGGCGGCTTCGGAACGCGCTCCGATGGCTCCAGATGCCTTCCAAGACGCCTGTCATGACACCAAGACGGTCCCAGAAGCCTCCAAGACGCTCCGAGAGGCAGCCCAAGAGAGGCCCAAGAAGCAAAAATCGTGCCATTCCTATGGGAAAACATATTTTTCGCATGTTCGCATCATGGGCTTTCACCGCGTCCAAGACGGCCCAAGAGGCCTCCAAGACGGCCTAGGAGGCCTGCGGGAGCGCTCCAAGGCTGCGCACGAGTGGCTCAGGACGGCCCCAAGACGGCCCAATTGAGCCCCAAGACGAGTTCGAGAGGGGTCCCAGACGGAGAAAGCCAACCTCGAATTCCGAGCTTCCGGCCCAAGAGGCTCCAGGAGGCGCCAAAATGCCGCCAAGAGGCGCCACAAGGCTCCCAAAAGCACCCCAAGACGTTCCGAGAGGCACCCCAAGAGAGGTCCAAGAAACAACAATCGTGCCATTCCTATGGGAAAACGTATATTTTTCGCATGTTCGCATCTTGGGCTTTCACCGCGTCCAAGACGGCCCAAGAGGCCTCCAAGACGGCCGAGGAGGCCTCCGGGAGCGCTCCAAGGCTGCGCACGAGTGGCTCAGGACGGCCCCAAGACGGCCCAAGAGAACCCCAAGACGACTTCGAGAGGGGTCCCAGAAGGAGAAAGCCACTCTCGAATTCCGAGCTTCCGGCCCAACACATCCCAGGAGGCGCCAAAACGCCGCCCAGAGGCGCCAAAAGGCTTCCAAAATCAGCCCAAGACGTTCCGAGAGGCACCCCAAGAGAGGTCCAAGAAGCAAAAATGGTCCCATTCCTATGGGAAAACGTATACTTTTCGCATGGTCGCCTGTTGGGTTTTCACCGCGTCCAACACGTCCGAAGAGGCTCCCAAGACGGCCTAGGTGGCCCCCAAGAGAGTTCCAAGACGGTTCACGAGGCGCCCAGGACGGCAAAATTGGACTCCAAAATGGCCTAAGAGAGCCCCAAGGCGTGCCCGAGAGGGGTCCCAGAGGGAGAAAGCCACTGTAGAATTCCGAACTTTCGGCCCCAAGAGGCTCCAGGAGGCGCCAAGAGAGCTCCAAGAAGCCCCCACGAGAGACCCAGGACGCCCCAAGAGGCTCCAAAGGCGGCCCAAGAGAGCCCCAAGATGGGCCCGAGAGGGGTTCCACGATTCCTGGGTCTGTGACTCGACAGCACCTAAGCGCGCGCGAAGCGCGCGCGTGGTTCTAGTATATATATATATATATATATTTATATATATATGGAATACCAGACTTCTGCCTTTGCGCACTCTTGTACTTCTTTGTTGGTTCCCCTGGACAGCATCCAGCACGATTTCTTGCAGCAGATAGGAGTCTGTGAAGATATGGCACACAACTATTATTTCGCCTCCTTCTGCGTCCAGAGGGACATCGCCACCCTTGGTTTGATCCACGGGGCAGCCTTGGATAAGGGGCCGCCAGAGAAGTTTCTTCGTTCCTGACACAGGACGCCCCCCGGCGAGAACCGCCAGACGTCACACCCGGCGCATGGGGGACCCGTGCTCCCTGCGATCGCCCGACTATGTGATTAGATCGGCTCCTGGTGGGGCTTACCACCCGACGCAGTGATCAGCGCAAACACGGCTAAGTAATTGCAATCTAGGTTATCCGCGCTGCTTCGAATATCTACCAGTACTGGGGACGATTGGTGATCTTCTTGGCACATTCCTCTCGCATTCTATTTTCTGCACAATTGGAGACGATGGAAGCCCCGGAACGATTGATCTGTCTTGTCTTGGTAATATCATCATCACGTGGCTGGTTGCATTGCTGTTGGTCGTGAGCCTGTACATGATCGACCCACGAACCCGGAAAGGAATATAGAAATGTAATGCATGGCAACGTTTTCAAAGACACCTGATTGGGTGATGGGCAAATGAAATGCTGAGTGTATCGATCTTGATGTACCCTGCCGAGGGCTGCTGTGCTGCACCGTGCTGCATTGCGATGTGCCATGCCGCGATTGTGCTCGATAGCATCGTGGATCGAGTCCTCCTTTGCATCCGAGTCGTGACCGAACTGATCTGGCTCTTAAGCTCGAGCTGCCTGAACACATAGTAGCTGCCCCAGAGCTAATTGACAGGGGGACATGCCAGGAGGACGCGCCGCGAAACGTCCCAAGGGACGCGCCAGGCGACGTGCCAGGGGACGTGCCACGGGGTCGCACCGCGGGACGTGCCAAAGGGACGCGCTACGCACCGTGCCAATGGACGTGCCACGCGACGTGCCAGGGGACGCGCCACGCGACGTGCCAGGGGGACTCGCCACGGGACGCGCCACGGAACGTACCAAACAACGTGCCAGGTTGCAATGCTGAGTGTATCGATCTTGATGCCCGTGCCGAAGTCTGAGCTGTGCTGCGCTGTGCTGAACTGCGATGTACCATGCCGCGATTGTGCTCTATAGCGTTGTGGATCGAGTCCTCCTTTGCATCCGAGTCGTGACCGAACTGAAAAGCTCGAGCTGCCTGGACACATAGTAGCTGCCCCAGAGCTAATTGACAGGGGGACATGCCAGGAGGACGCGCCGCGGAACGTCTTCAGGGACGCGCCAAGCGACGTGCCAGGGGACGTGCCATGGGGACGCACCGCGGGACGTGCCAAGGGGACGCGCTACGGAACGTGTTGGGGACAAGCGTTTCGCTCGAGACACCCTGCCAACATCTTCATGCTAGACATCCGCCTGAGCATCCTGGACATGCGAAAACAAGCGTTTCGCTCAACACATCCTCAACATATTCTCATGCTTGACATCCGCTGGGCGAACTGGACACGTGAAAACAAATGGTTCGCTCGAGACATCCTCAACAGATCTTCATGTGAGACGTCCGCCTGGGTGACCTGGGCACGTGAAAACGAGGGTTTCGCTCGAGACGTTCTCAACACCTCCTCATTCTAGACATCCGCCTGGGCGACCTGTACACGTGAAAGCAAACGTCTCGCTCGAGACATCCTCAACACATCTTCATGTTAGACATCCGCCTGGGCGACCTGGACACGTGAAAACAAGCGTATACCTTGAGACATTCTCAACACATCCTCATGCTAGACATCCACCTGGGCAACCTGGACACGTGCAAACAAGTGTCTCGATCGAGACTTCCTCAACACATCCTCATGCTAGACATCCGCCTGGGCGACGAGGACACGGGAAACCAAGCGTCTCGCTCGAGACATCCTCAACAACTCTTGGCGCTAGACCTCTGCCTGGGCAACCTGGAGGCGTGAAACCAAGCGTCTCGCTCGCGACATCCTCAAGACCTGGGCACGTGAAAACAAGCATCTCACTTGAGAGATCCTCTGAATTCTGGTCCCCAAGAAATGACAATCTATAACACAAAACAAGCGTTTCGCTCGAGACATCCTCAACACATTCTGAACAACAAGCGTTTCGGTCGAGACATCATCAAAATTCAATTCCGCAGGCCCTACGCGACCTCGCTACTATGGCAAATAATTTCGCCGGCCCTGGAGCCGTCGAATCCGGGGGTAAACCTACTAAAAGAGAACCCTGGGCCCCCGCCCTTTCCGGGAAAAACATGTGGTTCCAGCTCGGGAGAACAGTTAACCATCCCCCTGGGTGTCCTGGCCACGTAAAATCATGTGGTTCCAGCTCGGGACAACCATGTTAGATACCCCCCTTGCGTGGCCTGGATACGCTGAATTCGCGCTCCCGCTCGAGAAATCCTCGCAATGTCTTCCCTGGAGAAGCCCCCAAAGCGCCACCCCTTGTACAGAGCAAGAAAACACCACTTTTTTCTTTCTTGGGATCTGTGTTCGGGTATCGCTTTTCTGCCCCCCGTGCGTTTCCTGGTAATTCGGCGTGGTGTCCCGTTGAGTTAGATCGATCGTGAGATCGATAGTGAGATCGATAGTGAGATCGATGTGGTGTCTCGAGGTATCCCGTGGTGTCCCGTGGTGTCCTATGGTGTCCCGTTGAGTGAGATCGATCGTGAGATCGATAGTGAGACGGATAGTGAGATCGATGTGGTGTCCCGAGGTGTCCAGTGGTGTCCTGTGGTGGCCCGTGGTGGCCCGTGGTGTCCCGTTGAGTGAGATCGATAGTGAGATCGATAGTGATATCGACAAGTGTCCCGTGGTGGCCCGCGGTGTCCTGTGGTGTCCCGTTGAGTGAGATCGAACGTGAGATCGACAGTGATATCGATAGTGAGAACGATGTGGTGTCCTGAGGTGTCCCGTGGTGTCGATGTGATGTCCCGAGGTGTCCCGTGGTGTCCCGTTGAGTGAGATCGATAGTGAGATCGACAGAGGGACCGATAGTGACATCGATGTGGTGTCCCGAGGTGTCCAGTGGTGTCCTGGTGGCCCGTAGTGGCCCGTGGTGTCCCGTTGAGTGAGATTGATAGGGAGATCGATAGTGAGATCGACAAGTGGTCCGTCCCGTAATGTCCCGTGGTGTCCCGTTGAGTGAGATCGATCGTGAGATCGACTGAGTCAGATGTTGGTTCCCCTCCCCCTCTCCGCCCCCACAACCTCCTGATCACCCGAAGGGTGCTCGTATAGGTTGTCTTGGTTTTGTAATGGGACCTTTCAGCAGCGCGCCAGACAGCGCCTCGACGCGCACATTTGTGCATGTCACGAGTGCGATTGCGGTCGCCGCGCGGCGCTGAAATGCAGGTGGTGCTCGCGGCAGGGCGACTCGGTGAAGCGAGCAGCGCGACGTCCTCGCGGGACGCGCCCAGGGGGGCGTGGGGGGAAACGGGGCGCCGTGTCCTTGGCACCGCTCGGACGTGTGCACTTTTTTCTCGGCGAGGACCATCGAGGAGCATCCTTGATCATTTGGCGAACATGATCGACCCACGATCCCGGAAAGGAATATAGAACTGTAAGGCATGGCAGCGTTTTCAAAGGCACCTGATTGGGTGACGGGCAGGTGCAATGCTGATTGTATCGATCTTGATGTACCGTGCCGAGGGCTGTGCTGTGCTGCACCGTGCTGAATTGCGATGTGCCATGCCGCGGTTGTGCTCGATAGCGTCGTGGATCGAGTCTTCCTTTGCATCCGAGTCCTGACCGAACTGATCTGGATCTGAAGCTCGAGCTGCCTGAACACATAGTAGCTGCCCCAGAGCTAATTGACAGGGGGACATGCCAGGAGGACGCGCCGCGAAACGTCCCAAGGGACGCGCCAGGCGACGTGCCAAGGGACGTGCCATGGGGTCGCACCGTAGGACGTGCCAAGGGGACGCGCTACGGGACATCCTCAAAATTCCTGCGCGCGGGACGTGGCACGCGCGAGACATCCCCGGAATTCCTGCGAGCAGGACGTGAAAACAAACATTTCGCCTGAGACATCCTCTGAATTCTGGCCCCCCACGAGGCCCCCGCTCGAGACATCCCCCAAGCTTGCAAAACCAGCGTTTCGCTCGAGACATCCTCAACAAATTATGAACAACAAGCGTTTCGCTCGAGACATCCGGTCAAAATCCAAGGACATCCTGGCAAAACAAACGAATTAGTCGATACATCCTCAAAATTCCTGCGCGCGGGACGCGGCACGCGCGAGACATCCCTGGAATTCCTGCGAGCGGGACACGAAAACAAGCATTTCGCCTGAGACATCCTTTGAATTCTGGCCCCCCACGAAGCCACCGCTCGAGACATCCCCAAATTTTGCAAAACCAGCGTTTCCCTAGAGACATCTTCAACAAACTATGTAAAAAAAGCGTTTCGCTCGAGACATCCTGCCAAAATTCTAAGATATCCTGGCAAAACAAACGAATTAGTCGAGACATCCTTGAAATTCCTGCGCGCGGGACGCGGCACGCGCGAGACATCCTCGGAATTCCTGCGCGCGGAGCGTTTTTCCGCGTCGCGGTCGGGGCTCCGGACCCCGTTATTTGTCGAGGATTCTGCGAAAAACGTTCCGCACCCTGTTTTTTACAAGGGAAAACGGGGGTCTGCGGACCCCGTTTTTTATGGAGGATCCGAGATGGGGGGCGCACTTTCCTCGAGCGGGCACGCGCGAAACGCATTTTTTCGACTGAAAATCAGCTTTTTATTTCGTTATTTGCGCAGAATAATTTCGCCGGCCCTCTTCCCGTCGATTCCGGGGGGTAAACCAACTAAAAGAGAACCCTGGGCCGGCGCCCTTTCCGGGAAGAATCCGCGCACGAAACCGGGAAAAACACAGGGAATGGACGTCCGAGCGATGGCCCGTGTCTGAGTGGCTCGTGCCACGGGGGCCTTGCGTCGGGGCGTGGATCAGCAGCTCGGCGTCGACGCCCACTGAGAGCCCCGAGCGGCGCGAGGAGCCCCGACCTGCGCGACTCTGCGGTTCGGTGCCGCCGGCGCTCGAAAGGGCAGCGCCTCGAAGCCGTCGTGCGTGGCGGGCTCACTGCGGCAGCGTGGCCAGACATATTCGGCGCGACGACGAGCGGCGGCCGCGACGTTGAGCCGCAGTTCGATGATGCGCCTATTCATGAGCGCCAGGGGCGTTCTACGCTCACCACGTCTCTGCCCAGCATTCGGACGAGTGTTCTCGCGACCAGAGAGCACGACATCCACCGCAGCTTTCGTGGGCGAGTGTGGGGGTGTCCCCGGCGACCGCGAGCTGCAAACAGGCTCCGCGCGCGACCCTTTCCCTTCGCCCTCCCCAGCTTTTCCCTTGTCGGCGATCTCCTCCTCCCTGCGAGGCGCGCCTGCTGGGGACTTGCGTGGCCATCTGCCCTGTCGCCGAGCTTCTCTCGGCACGTTTGCCGCGTCGCCGCCCGCGCGTGTTCCGCGCTTTCTGGGCGGCTCCACGGGCCGGGGGCTGCCCGCCCAACCGCGCTCCCTTCTCGGGCCGCCGCGTCTGGTGGCCCCGGCCTGTTGCCCGCCGCCGTGCGCTCGAGTGCCTTGGCATCGTGCGCCGCGTCCGGCGTTCTCTGGTTGGGGGGGGGGGCGGGCTCGGCCCCCGCAGGTTGTTGCCCTTTTCGAACGCATGTTGTTTTCCTTCTCTGTTCGGAGTGCCAGTGCGCGAAGCTGCGCTTGGCTGTGACCAGCTCGGGCCTCTCTTTCCCTCCCTTTTCGCCCCCTTCGTGGTCCACTTCGCGCTGTGCTGATTCAGTACGTGTGGGCGTCAGGGCCACATGGGGATACAAAGCAACGCCGCTGCGCACCACCCCGGTTTGTGTGAAGGGTCGCCTCTGGCAGTTTGGCCACTGCATTGTTCCTGGCCCGTTAGCGGCTTTCTCTGCAGCTCCTCCTGATCGGGCTCCTGTGTTTTCATCTTTACCTGCGCGTTGCTGGTGGGGCGAGGGCGGGCGACTATGACTTCGAGCGGTTGGGTGTTGATGGATCGTGTTGATGGGTCGGAAGAGCCCTTCCTTCTGTTCCTTGTTTCCGTGGTCATTCCTCTTTAGCTCTCAGTGAACTTGTCGCTTTTGCAGTTGCTGTGCCTCGCACGACTCATTCGTGCTCGGGCGTGTCTTCCTCCAGCTCCAATTCCAGTTCGATGATGCTTCGGCACGCCCCGAAGTACTTCTCGCTCTGGGGGCCCACTTGCCGCGAGTAGCTTTTTCCCCTGCCATCGGGTCTTCTTTTCTCCTCTTGTGCCGCAGTTATCTTCGCCCGTGCCCTAGCGTAGCCCGCCCACAACTCGGATCCGCCTCCGTCGGGCGCGGAGGGAGGGGGGTGGAGGGAGGAGGGGGGGAAGGTGGTGGGAGGGAGAGGCGGGAGGTTGGTTGGCTGGTGCCTGGGATGGCGAGTGCGGGCGGCCCTGCGGGCACAAAGCGCCCTTTTCGGGGTCCCTGCGGGCATGGGCTCTGCATTTTTGTTTTGCATCCCCCCCCGCCTCGTCCACCTCGCCGCCCCAGCCCCCCGGGATGCGCGCGCGCATGCGTCCCCGTGTTTTTCTGCCACCGCCGGAGGGGGAGGGGGGGGGCGCGGAGCATCGCCCCGGGCATCCGGCGTCCTGGCTTTTTCGAGGCCTGGCCCCCTCCCGTCCCTCGACCAGGTCCCCACGGCTGGCTTCTCATCGACAGCCGCTGCTTCTGGCCTCCGGGGGGCGGCCCCTCCAGAGGCAGGAGTACGGTGAGGGCATTGAATAAGGAACCATGGGATAAGGAATCCAGGGCCTGGAAGCCAGTGGAACTCCAATCGTGCACTGGCCATGGGTAGAGTAACGCTGCCGCCCTCATCAGAGAAGGAATTACACCAGAGAAACAACCCAATCAGTGGATGGCTTTCGCTGAGGAGATCGACCGGGAACCCGGGAGCCCGGGAACCCAGAATCCACCGAAATCGGCCCGGAAGAACCCGTCACCGGGAACCCGGGAACCCAGCCTGCCACCAAGATCGGCGCGGGAAACGTTCGCCAAGTCTTTCAACTTCCGCTATAGGACCCCTTCAGTGCAAGCACTGAATTGGGGATCCCCCCGGGTCGGAAGCCTCCCGGGCACATTCCTCAGCCAACGCCCCCGCCGTCGTTGCCCGTCGCCGCGACTCTGGTGCTGCAGTGCCGAGGCACGGCGGGCGGGCGCGTGCTGCGCACAGAGCCCCCGCCCAGCGTGGGCGCCGCCCCCTCCCCGGGGCGCGCCGGCCCGACGGCCCGAGCGAGCGCCCTGCCCCGAAGAGCGCCGCGGGAGCCCCCCCCCGCGCGGCGCCAGGCGTTCCTGACGGGCACGGGGGCCGGGATCACCCCCATCGAGCACATCTCGTCCGAGCAGGAGCGCGCTCCTCTCGAGGGGGAGGATGGGGGCGAATAGTCCAACGGGGGGGGGCAATGCAGCTGTCCAGGGGTGCCGATGATCTATGTCCTCGACAAGGCTCCCGGGCGAATGCGTGTAATGCCCGCCCCTGGGCAATTCGCCCCTAGCGTCGCCGCCGATGCTCGCGAGGGGGATGGAAGGGGCTGGGGTGAAGTCGGACACGTCCCTCCACAGGAGGAAGATTCAAAAATAAGCCACAAACAACGGTGCGGGGACGATTTCTCGATTCTTTCTGGCCACTCTCGAATCTTTTTGGGGCTATTTCTTATTTTTCCTCCAGCATCCGCCTGTAGGAGGACATGCGGGCTGGAAGCGGGGATGAGGGCCTCAGTTTCACGCCGTTCAGGAGGGGAAGAAACACACAGACACAATTAATCGTCGATTTCCAGAAAATATTGGAAAATATGGGAAGTGGGGGGGAAGACAGAAACCCAGAAAGTATGGGAAAACATGGGGAATCCTTTTATTTGTGTGTATTTAATTGTGTGTCCCAGGGCCCCTTTATTTCTATCCGTCTCTCCCCCTGCCCGGCTTCCGCCGCGCTCCGTCGGCCCTCGCCGAGGCCCATCCCCAGGCCCCTGCGCCCGCCCCTTTCTCGCCCCTCGGACAGACAGACAAGGACCGATCGGACGCCTCAAAGCGTCACGCCCCACTCGTGAGGACGGCGAAACTGTAAAGCAGGCCTGGCATGGCGAGCAACGCTGGCGGCGAAGGAGAAAAATTGGATGCAGTATTGACATGCGTGCTTGAGGGGATGGGAGGAGGAGGGAAGAAGGAGGGGGAAACCCCTCAGGGCCGTCCCGACTCCGCCTATGTCCGTTCATGAGGGGAAAAGCACGCAGACACAATTCATCGTCGATCCCTGTGAAAATGTGTGACAATTTGGGAAGTGGGGGGGAAGACGACAATCCAGGAATTAG